AAAAAAAAAAAAAAAAAAAAGAAAAACATCTGTAAGCCATACCAAAAACTCATACTTGAGTGAATTTTGGCTTGCAGTAGATAGTAAGGGGTAATTTCATTATGGTATATACAAGCTAAAGAGGGTCTCTGTTATTACTCCTATCACTGGAGAACTCTTTCTTCAACAGGTAGATGATATTAATATGCCATATCACAGTTGAGAAACTAAGGATTAATTTTTTTTTTTAACTAATAAAACTTCTCAAGACAACCAGTAAGGTACAGAGGTGCAACATAAAGTCCACTACTAACACAGAGCTTTGTGGAACTCAGAGAATCTGATGAAGGTTATAAATCCTTTTCTTCCTCATGGGGTTCCAGTCAGACAGCAGGCAAGGCAAGGCAGGTTCTGACACTGACTCCGCTATTTTACTTCTAAATGATGATTTTTCATATAACATAATACAATCACACAATGAATGATCCCTCTCAAGTTACCTACTTTTAAATTCTAAGTCAAATATTTTATTAATGGGCTCCATATAATGTGAAGGTACTGAGAAGAGGAACACAATATGGTAGCAAAACAAACGATGTCTTCACTTGATGCTGATGTCTTATTTTCATATCAGCCTTCGTTACCAAGAATGGCATTTTCATAGTGTTGAAGATGACTCTTTATTTTTTTTTTTGTGGAAATGTTTACTTTTTTTTTTTCTTTTTTTTTTTTTTTTTGGTAATGCTGGGGATTAAACCCAGGGCCTTACACATAAAACACACACTCTGAGCTACAGAGTGCCTCTGAGCTACATTCCTAGCCCCTGAGGACATGAGCAGCCCAAGCATTTAGGACATAAGGTCATCATATAGGGGAAGAGGAACAGAAGTGAGGTGGTCTCTATTTCACACATCTAAAGCTGGGTGTGGAATAGAAGAAACAGAAAGAAGACAATGATTGACTTTCTCTTACATTGTGTAGGAGGGCCACTTGTATGTGCAGTAATAAAACATTCTGAGCCAGAATTAGTGTCTAGTTGCCCTCCCTCTGGTTGTAGTTGCAGTGGGCAAACATTTGTGATTGACTCTTCTCTTTTTCTGTCTACAGGAAACTCTTTCCCCTCTTGCTAGCATTTATGTAGCAGCAATACCCTGTTCTCCAGGACTCTGGGATGCCCAGCTCCCCTGTCCCTCTATCCACCCCCTAGATCAAGAGTTGACAAAACAGCCTGTGGCTTAAGTCTGGCCACTGACCTGACATTCCACAATGACATGGAAATACCACCTGGACACCCTGAATTTCTTTTGTTTTTTTGTGGTACTTGGGGATTGAGCCCACAGTTTTTGCAGTAAGTTATATCTCCAGTCCTTTTTCTTTTATATTTTGAGACATAGTCTCACAAAGCTTGGGCTTGAATGAAAGATGCTCCTGCTTCCGCTTCCAAGAATGCTGGTATTACAGGTGTGTGTCATTATACCCAGCACATACAGAGTGCCTCGAATAGCTCTTCGTAGCAAAATTACTCACCCACCAATTCCAATGACAAATGTTTTCATAATTTGCTTTGAAAAATCACGTCTTCCTGATATTTCCTAGAATTAAAAAACAAAAAATGAACACGTATCATGTATCATGTAGCTGTCTAGTGAGGTAAGAAAGTGACCTTGAATTAGCAGCAGTAGTAAAGGGAGGATGATGACAGCAGTGGCTTGGCTACCCCAGCCCGCATTTCCCACAGGCGTGAAAGCTTCAGGCCTACCAGCTTCTGGCCAACAGGCTAGCGCAGAGTGACCACAGCTGACTGGTGCTCAGGGCCTGTCAAACAACATGGAGGGAACTGACACCTCTGGGTCTCTGCACGCTTTCCGGGCACAGCACAATCTAGGGTTTCAGCTGCCTCCTGCTTGTGACCCTTTCACCTGAAGATTCAGTCACCAGGTGGCCAGTTTTCCCACAGGCAGGGAGGCCTCAGACTTGGCCTCCTTTCTTCCCTCCAGAAAGAGGAAGCTCATCACTGATAGCTGCAGGGAAAGACAAGCCAATGCCTTTTATAGTACTGTTTCCTAGCTTTACAGCCTAGGTCTAGGGGCTGGTGAGGCAAATTTTGGAAATGGACCAGATAGTACATATTTGAGGCTATTTGGGCTAAGAATTCAAATCTGAGTTATGCTGGAACTTACACAACAAAAGAAAAAGCAAATTTTCACAAAATTTTTTATGACATTTAAAATACAGAATCATAATTGAACATTTTTTTTTTGTGGGGGGAGGCCTATACAAGCTTTCTCATGATGGGAATGGAATTTTTCTTTAATTGGAATGATGTTTCTTTTACTTAGATTTCTAAGCTAACATTGTGTTACGAAACTGCCAGTGTCAGGTAGGTGGCCAGACTTAAGCCACAGGTTGTTTTGTCAACCCTTGGTCTTGGGGGTGGAGGGCATTTCATCCTGGCCGCTAGCCTTCACCGAAGTGACCTTTGGATCGTACACTATGCCAAGTAAAAAGCTGAAGAGTGGCTGGAGGGACCTGGGAGAACCAGGTTCTTCGTGCTCACTCCTGACTGAAGCTGCTCCTTCTGCCTGTCTGCTCAGGAAGAGTGATCAGGGACGAAGATGTGTGCAGCTGGAAGTGGGTGGCTGTTGGGCTGGGGGCTGCCTGCGGCCTCCCCATGCCTGTCCCCCACTCCCTGAAGGGCTGTGGAGAGCAGCCTGATGAGGTGAGGGCTGCAGTTCCTTAGCCGCATCTCAGCTTACCTGGAACACAGAGAATCCTAAACTCCAGCCCAGCCTGAGCAACCTGGTATGCAGCTGTCTAAGGCTTCATTAGCAGCCTGTGGGAAACAGCAGCTCAAGACTGACTCATAGAAGCAAACCAGCAGGAGCTAGATATCTGAGTTTCACCTGGAGCTGCACTGTTGGATACGTAGCTCCATCCAAAGGTGGATCAAGAGAACAACTGCTGTTGATGAATACTGTAAAATAAGTTTTGATATAGTTTTTCTGCTTTAGAATTTTATTTTGTCTTATTTTTGACAGCCCTGTTTTGTGTAGGGATCAACTGCCCTTTATCTTCAGATAGGGTCTATCTTCTTTTCTGGTGCTAAATGAACTTTCTTTCATGAAATCATGTTCTCACTAGATGGTAGGAGATCAATGCCCTCACTTAGCAAATTTTACCATTCCTTGTTCTCATCTAATTTTGGGTAGTTTGTTTGAGCAAAAACTCAAGCTCTGAAAAATACAGCCTCAGCTACCACCTGGTCCACCTTTTATTTTGCAGAGGTGGAAACCGGCCCCAGTTGGATGACAAGCCCAAGGTCAGGCAGCCACTGACTGGAAAATCTGGGAATGAACTAAATTAAGCAAGTTAGAATCTTTCCAGCCTTCCAAGCTGCTACAAATACTTTATTACCAAGAGCATAGAAAGGATGTTGCACGTGCACTGGCGTAACTGTAACTGCTAGCAGGGATGTATAATTAATGTCATTCCCGTTGATACATTATGGATGGGGCACTGTATTTGCTGTGCACACGGAATGAAAAGAAGTACCAGGTCCATGTCCTAACTGTGACATCTGGGCACACGTGAGGATGATGCATTAGTTTCCTGCATGTAAATAACGAGTGCATTTGTAGCTCTGTTGGAGCAGTGTAGGGGGACACTGTGTAGAACCTAGCAATTTAGAAACTGGGAGAGGAGTCAAGAACCTACTTAAAAACTTCTTGGGGCAAGAAGGGTAGTGAACTATGGCAATATCAGGTTTTTCACAAAACAGTACCCCTAGTTCTACACTGGTTAGCATCCAGGCCTGTCCAGTGAGATGAGGCATCTGTTTAGTGACTAGCAGATGACAGAGTAGAGGGCTGGGGGACTGGATTGGGCAGAAAAAAGGCCGGGAGCTGGTCTGAGTGGCAAGGGTATGGAGGGGTAGACCTCTACAATCCCCAAAAGCATCTATTTCAAAAACAGGGAGGGACTTATAGGGCTGTCCCAACAGACCTCCAAGTTAAGGCCCGGCATTATCTACTTTCACATCACAACTTGCTCCTTCTTTAAAAATTATTTGAAAAACAAATTTAAAGTTTGCAATCAAGAGCTTCCTATTAGTAGAACCTATGTGCCATCTCCAATCTCATAGAACATTTACACAGTTTATTTTCCCAAGGTGTGCAGAGCTTTCTTCAACAGCAGTGCGTTTTGTGTGTGTGTGTGTGTGTGTGTGTGGGTGTGTGTGTGTGTGTGGAACCGGGGATTGAACTCGGGCCCTTGCTCTTGCCAGGGAAGCACTTATTCCACTGAGCCATCTCCCCAGCCCCAGCAGTGCATATTTGCAGTGGGGTGGGGCACAGACAGACTGGGACAAACAGCAGCAAACCCAAAACAAGTCTTTTTATTTTATTCATTTGTTTTTTGTCTTTGAGTCAGGGTCTAGCTGTGTAGTTCAGACTGGTCTTGAGCTTACTTTGTAGCCCAGGTGGGTCTCAAAATCACAAAGATCCTCCTGCCTCTACTTCCTGAGTGCTGGGATTACAAGCATGTACCACCATGCCGGATTGAGTCATTTTAATATGCTTATACTTTTATATTTTCACTGAGTAAAAAGACAACTATTTTTTCCATAATTGGTATGTTTCTGTTTAATCCAATTCACCAGCAACTCTTGGATTTTTAACTTAAGAATTGTTCCTCAGGGCATGTAGTCAGCACTTTGTAAGGAAAAGAGAAACTCCTTAACACAGAAATAGTATAAAAGATGACAACTGCGAACACTATCTGTTTTCAAATATATTTGAAGGACAGTCTGATCTTTTAACGTGAATCTTTTTTACTGTTTTTATTTATTCATTTATGTATTTGGTACAGGGTGTTGCTAAACAACTGGATCCTCCTGTCTCAGCGTTCCCAGTGCTGGGATTACAGGAGTGCACCACCACACCTGGTTTCGGTAACCACCGGCTTGTGGTACCTGGGACGGAACTCTGGTCCTTGTGCTTGCCAGACAGGCGCTTAGACCACCAAGCCATCTCCCTAGCCCTGATCTCTTAAAAAAGAGCGAAATGTTTTCAGGACTTCTCACTCATTTATTTTAGTCAATAAATATTTTGACTATTCTTTCGGCAAACAAGGCAATTTTTCCTCCTTGTTTAAACTTTGCTCACTTTTAGTAAACATGGAAATCTCCTAATGCTAGAGTTTCTGCAAATGCAATCCATGCCCTTTGTCAGTTAGAATTACTACTTAGCAGCAAATCTGAAGCTTCATTTATTCAGGGTCTTACATAACAGTTCTTCTCTCCCCTCCCCCTATACTCATTAGCTTTACAATATTGACTCTGCCATTTGAACCAACTTCCAGGATGTTCCCACTCACTCTGCTAGGTCAGGGCTGGGCTAGCTTTTTCTATAAAGTGCTTTGCGGGCAGGTAGCTACTCCACCCCGAAGGGGGATGCGAGGAAGCGGGCGCAGACAGCCCCTACGCAGGTGGGTTTGGCTCTGCACTAGTTTGGACCGGATGGACTCTGAAATCCGAATTTCACACGACTGGGACGGACTCTGAAATCCGAATTTCACGTGCCACAAAATAGCACTTAAAAAAACAATTAGTCCTTTGTTTCCTTCCTAGACACTAAAAGGTGAAGAAGTATGCCTAGCAGGCTGCACAGATTCAGGCCACAGGGGCACCACAGTCAGTCAGTCAGTCAGTCAGTCAGTCAGTCCGTCCGTCCAGCGCCGGGGGCTCCCGCCCCGCCCCAGGTTCGTCGCCAGGCGGGTGCCGAAGTCTCTCTCGTCACCGGTACGCGTACGGCCCCGGTCTGGGCCCAGCGTCCCATCAGGGCTCAAGATGCACCCGAGGGCGTGGGCGCTGGGTCACCTGCGGCCAAACTGCGGCGACGCGGGCCGGCGGGGACTCACCTGGCGCCGGGCGCAGGCCTCCTCCCGACCTTGGGGCCGCGACCGCTCCTTCCCCCGCGCCGCGCGGACTGGCGAGCCAGGCGCAGGGAGGCACCGGGAAGCTCCGCGCCCGGCCGCACGCCGCGTCTTCGCCCACCCAGACTAAGGGCGGG